ATTTCGGACTTGCCAGGAAGGATCAAACAAACGCATGTTTTCCACGCTTTCTCCCTAGTCACTATCTTTTGTAAACAGAATTTGTAGAAGGAAACGGTCTCCCAAAGTTCACCCCAGGACTTTGTAATTGCGTTTCGGCGTACAGGTCAGATGTAATGCCTACTATCACGGTCCCGCTACCTCTGAAAAGGCCCATCTCGGATCTTTTGAGTATGGTTATTTAGGTAAAGGAAGCGATTACGATAAAGAGGGAGCGCATCGGGGAAGCATATGCACCACACGAAGCAGTTACTTGGCTGCCAAGGAAGCGAATGTGGCGCTTTCACGACGAAAGGTGCGCTGGTTGCTGAGCAGGACTTCGAAAGCACTCCGCCCCCAAAAGCGATCCGCCCACTAGTTTACTTGTTGATTTGGACGAGCTGCGTGGCCAGCAGCGGCGCAAATGGAGCATCTCGATTAAAGCGTGTTTGGCAATGGTGCCATCAAACGCGTTGCGGTGAACTCGTTCATACGTCCACTTTCTGAGCTGTTACCTGTTCATGAGTGAAAACCAACGGCCAAAAAAGGGGTCCCGTTTTGCGTTTTCTTGACGGATTTTCTGCTTTTCGCCACTGGCGTACCATTGAGCACCACCACGTCACACTAAACCTTCTTGAATTTATCGTAATCGCTGCCTTTAAGTCTTCAATTGTTCACATTTTTGATGCAGAGCTTGGTAAGCCACGAATGCGGGCCGTCTTCATCCTGCCACACTGATTCGGCACCGAAGTCTCCTATCTCGAAGCCATGGAAGACTGGGTTACCCCTACGATGGAATCCATCAGGGATTGAATCGCTGGTGCATATATGCAATGGCACCACTTGCCATTTCCCTACTCCCAATGTAGACTTTGGAACTACAGGAATTCAAAATGCTTAGGTATGGCACGCTCATTCGTCGCCAAGGACGAAAACGGCAAGCTTGCTATTCGAAAGCCACGTGACGGCGATCAGCTTTTCCGAGGCACTCCGAGATACTGTAGTCTGAATACTCACTACAGAAAAGAGCAGGTAGGAGGCCTACTCCTATTTATTTGATAAAGGAAAAGGAAAAATCATATGGCAGGGTCGGGTTGACGACTTGTGGTCATGGCTTCATATGCTTATCGAGCTTCACATTGGGCTGCCGTGGAATCGTATAAATGATGAAAAAGCCATACTCGCTCAAAAAGAAAAGATCACACCAAAGGACTTAATACGAGTAAGTGGCTAGTATAATCGATACATATTAAAAACATATTATTAGACGGTCGTTGCCTTTTTAGACTTGTCCAGATGAATTTTATAAGATACGCGATTACTTAGAAACGTTGAAGTATGAAGATCGGCCAGACTATCATGGACTTTTTAGTGAGGTTAGTCACATGAAATGGCTCTCGAAACCAGGATCAACCGTCCTTTGTGCCGATTTCAAGAACGACTCTTTTTTGTTCTCTTCTTTCTCTGAACAAGGAAGGATACCAAGTCGAAGTGGCCATCCGTAATGAAACCTATACTCAGAGATGTGTTTTCGGACGCTGATCTCGAATCCACTCTCCAAATTTGCGAAACGATTCTCTGAAAAGTGTTACGGAGGTTGTTTCGAATGAAAGCCCACTGTAAGAGACTCCGGCAGAGCTCGGCTTCCAGCGGCGGCTTGGCCGAGTGGTAGTGTTGGCGGCTTCCAGTGGTAAGACCATGGATGGGATCTTGCTGGGCATGGGTTTTTTGCTTTTTGTAATTAGGTCTAATTTAAATATAAAAAATTATTCAGTGTTGAAATTTTCACTGCATCCAAAGCTAACGCATGTTTAGAGGGGTTTGTTTAACGCATTCCACTTTTTTCGTAATGTTTCGACCCTTGCCGAGGTGTTTCTACGCCACGGAAGTGACGTATATCCGACGATGGGCTAAACAAATGGGAGTTGCTTGCTCAACGGACCAAACTATCTTTGAAGGCTTAATTCTAGAAAGCTGACATTTGGACCCAATTTCGAAACTCGGTCTACAATGAGTCGAAGGTGTTATCCCTAGCCCCAGCCACTACCTGCTCCTCCTGGGCAGCGAGCGTGTACGTGAAAAAATATCATATTAATCTTCGGATGGCACGAGCAAGTAGAGCAGGCAACTATATCTCTTTCACAATAATGACTGAAAGTTTAATTCAATCCCACGATCAGGCTCTGACAGTGGGTTGATGGATAGATGACTGCCCACATTTTCGACTTCAGTCAAAATTTTAGATTTGGACCAAATGTTGTTGAAAGGGGTGTTTCGACGCGCTGAACACGAATATCGCATCTGCTTGGCACGAAATTGCCTTACGCGTGCGCTACGGGTGTCAGAGGCGGTCACTTGCAAATGACGCGCACAGTGCTCGAAGCTCTTCGCCAGCTCTGTTTACTTGTGCTATAGGCAATCGCTGATAACTTAGCATAGACAAGAGTCCCTTAAACAACGTTCACAAGAAAAGCAAAAGTGGGAACTCGCCAAGAACTCGAACTCACGACCTCTCGTTCGTTGAGCCGCACCGCTGCCACTGCACTATCTCGCTTCATAACTACGTTCAAAGAGTCGTTTCGCAGATTTGGAGAGCAGATTTGAGATAAGCGTCCAAAAACACATCTAGTGGTGTATGTCTCGTTACAAATGGCCACTTCGACCTGGTATCCTTCCCTTGTAAGAAAACCTCAAGCACGCCCCCACCATCCCAATCCAGCCGGAGGTTCCAAATATACCAACCTTCTGAAAGTCTATCAAAAAAAACGACGTAACACCAGATTTCTATAAATAACGCCACTCAACATACTCCAGCCTGTGCCCAATTTATTCCCAAACTGCGCGGTCGCAGTGGAGTACGCTGCTTTCGTTTCTTACCGCTTTCGCATTTTATATTCTGAAAAATTGTGGGAAAGAACGTCAAAAAGACACCCTCCCTCTACGACGCAACAAGACAACCCAGTTTCCACCACTATGAATCCTTACTCTCTGAAAACCGCAAATACCTCTCCTGGAACTTGGAACAACTGAAGTTTGAAAATACTAGTTCTGTAAAAGATCATTCGTTTGAAGGCAGATTTCATGAGTCGAGATGAACCAAACCCCTTCTCCAAATCGGATATAAGTATCCACAATGACGTAGATGTACTATTATCGTACCTCAAAAACGCGTGACAAATGTGGGGTACGTGATATCCTCTACGAGAAGGGCTCGCCCCAGAAGTGTTGCGGAATGCAACGGCCTAAGCATCAGTGTGTCTGACGCCTCCGCTCCGTTCTCCATGCTCTCCCTTTTTAAATTCTCCCTTCAGCGCCCAGCTTCTCCATGTAGCATTCATCCAACACTAAAAAAGGAGGACCTAATTCCAATGGCTCCTGATCCTCTCTTCACGAGCGGTTCATTTCGCATCAGTGCTATCTTTGAAGCACTAATTGCGTGAGTACGGCAATGAATACCTCTACTCACACTAACAAACCAAACATTTCATGATGTTGTGGAAGATTTCACAAATAGGAAAACCGAATTACTTCCTGTCGCACATAATCTTCATGAACCAAATGAATGAAGCACGCTACAATCCAGCTTCTTTCGGGAGCGCGCCACGCATTCGTCCTACGCTTGAAATTGCAGAAGCGTGTGGAACCGCTTTCCGGCTACTACAAGATATACTCATCTCAAACCCAATTGTCGTCCCAGACGACGACGCAGTTAGTGGCGGCGAGAGGGATGGGGGGGGGGCTAGTTTCATCAAAGCGTTAGTATATTCAGTGAGCGTGCAACACTTTCGAAGGCAAGGGTCAAAATCGAATTGTATTATTTTGTGCGGAAATAGCACGTGCGAAGAGAAGCGCTAGTGATGAGAAAAAACAAAAAGCACCTAGAAAATGCGAGAGAACGTCGTACGCAAGAGGGCGCAAACACCATGTATGCCCAGATAGACAGAGTGGCAGTGCTGGCAGCGTACAACACAAAGCTTTAGCGCCCTTGCCACGCACTTCTAGGTCGCGGCAGTGTCGCGGTTCCCCTGCTTAGAGACCCGTCCTCCTCAATCCAGAAAGGACGCCCACTCGACACCTAATCCCGACCGTTGGCTTTAATCAAAGTGCGACACATTTCTTCAATGACACAGCCGCGAAAAGGCAGATAAGCGGCATAGCGGAAATGCAGTCTAGGTTTCACCAGTACCACTGATTTCTACCACTGGAGCACGCATCTGGTGGTCGTGAAAGTATTATTATATCTAGGTGTCCCTAAAATCGATCACTAGTGACCATGTTTAGTTTCAATTTTAGTGTATGTCTGGACTGAAACGTGTACAAGGTTCATTTCTCGACCGCTATGAATGGGAGGGACCACGTGAAGAAATAAATACTGCTTTGTCAATTTCAGAATCCGCTGCATCTAGAAAACCTCTTACCAGTAAGTACATTATTCCTCATCTGAGGCATAAACCATATCAGATCCCAAAAACATTTAATGGCATTTGTT